ACACTGATAATGTTGCATCCGTGTGACCAAATCCCTGATTAAACCTTGATTGTATCGGCCTTGGTCAGATTGTCACACTTGAGGTCATATCTCAGCGGAAGGTCAGTCACATCCAACTCACCACGGCCGTCACTGCGGGACGTTGCACTTTTGATGGAGCTGTGACTGCAAAAGCATGGCAGTTTTGATGCCTTGACAAGCTTTCAAACGCGCGTGTGTGTGACTACTGTGTGTGCTGCTTCCTCGCTGATGAACTGAAAGCTGGAGGTACTCGGTGCTGCTGCTGAGTAATTGCGCAGGTCAGGGCGACTTGTTTCTCAGCTTATTATTCAGATTCTGTACCAACAGCTGCTTACTCAGCAGTGAAATGAAGAGTGTGTCTTCATGGCGCACTGCTGATATTTACAGATGGAAATAACAGTCGAATGGTGATGAATGGTGCTGCCTAGTGGGAGATTCGCTCTAATGTGAGAAGTGGGAGGGAGAATGTTCCCTGAAGACTGCCAGGCAATAAAGTACATGTTTGACCTATTAGGGCTAATTACAAGCCACTCATAAACAAGAGGTGAGCAAGATGAAGGGACGGCTTTTCAGAAACGTGAACTGTAGCCCCACATTAGAGAGTCCTTCAATTTTGTACACAAGATGCTTAGTTCATATTATGTGTTGACAACAAAGACCGCACACTGTGATGTAGAGATCATAAACCGCCAGGTTAGTGCAACCAGACTTAAGCTCTACACAACAGTAAACAATACAAACCATCCTCTAAACTTGTCGGTATCTGTCTGTACTAGTCAGCTCTTCACAACAATCGGTGAATTAGGCCCTTGATTCGATTCTGATCCCAAAAATGGCAGGAAAAACTTCAAATAGTAGTAGCTGCTGTACCTGCAAGCTCTGTGAGCATTTAAGACTCTATGTGCACTGTGCAGCTAGCAGAAGAGTATGAGACTTTATCTAGACCTTCACTGTAAACCACAATCTTCTCTTGAGAAGTCCAGCTTCTTAAGCTTACTACTTGCAGAATCTAATCAAACCTTTTCCTTTTTATCCACAGTATCTCGTTCAGATTCAAGGTTGGACTGCACAAAGCATGCCTTTGAGCTATCCCCTGGCCTCTAACCACTGAAATCAGCACTACCAGATTCCTACCATGCTTTGAAAGGGAGGAGGGGGCAGGGGGGCTAACTTTCAGTAAAAAAAAAAAGCATAACTGAGTACAAAAAGACGGCTCATGTCTATGCGAATGTCAAGAGACAAAAAAGACAAGTATGACAGAGTAAAGACTAAGGTACAGGTGGGACCTTTGCCAATATTTGATTTGCTTGGCTACAGGGGAAACCTGGAGTTTCATTAGTCGGACAGGGAAGAGAAGTTATGGACAGGCAGCTCCAAAAGACAGCAGGCACATCGGCATCATCCCCGTTTCCAGGTTCCATGACAACAGAAACAACAGTATCAAAAGGTCAGGAATTCTTTTCTCCAGGACAGACACAGTGGGGTGCAGGGGGAGCATTAATAGCACTGCAGTGTCATTGTTGTTGTTGACGCGACCGAGATAGACAATGTCCTGTTTGCATAAGAAACTTTCATAACCAGCTCTGGTTGGACATAAAGGATTAAAAGAGGAAACCGGACGGGAGGAAAAAAAGGGGACAAAACGCTGTCCTGTCACATTACGAAGAGGACATCCAGTCATATGAAAACATTATTGGAAGAGAACAGAATTGAAATACTTAAATTCTGCTGTTTAGAGACATGAGAGAAGACAGACGCAGTATGACAACCTAATATCACAACAGTGACTGGCAAAACCTTGAAAGATCAAAGGAAAAATAAGGCTATGCACATTACATATCTGTGTGCATGTTAGTTATAACTGCATCACTGCAACTACTGATTATTTACATTTTTCTTACACGTAAGTGATTAGTAAGTGTCACATTATTTTTCATTACAGGACCTATTTGCACAGTTAAACATCCAATCAACTGCTGTGAGTATGGCTGCAATGATTATTTACCTTATTGATTACGCTAATAACTGCTTCTCGTCACATATTTCCATCGTCCAAAATGAGCTACAAAAGGTCGATTTTCTATCATGGATGATTATTAAAGGATAAGAAACGGTTTCAGGAGCTGGAAACACGTATTTTTGCTCGAAAAATTACAAATAAAATATTGCTGTTGCTTTTCTGTGAACAAGTGCACTTGAAATCCCGGGTTGAGCACAAAGTTCAGGCTCATTCTCTGAGGGCTGTCAAAAGGCCTTCTGCAAAATACAAACTAAAATCGAAACGCAGGCCAAGCAGGTGAAAGGAGTACAATAAAAGCGAAAAGGGAACGGAAAAGGAGACACATTACTGTCCAGGGGATTTCTCCTTCAAAGAACTGAAACTGCAGTGTGAGCAGCAGAGAAGGTGCCAGAGAGAAACACTGGCAGTGCCAATAGGCATAATGGCATTAAGGTTCACTAATAAGGGGAGAGGGCTGGTCCGCCCCAGGCTGAAAGACTGCAGTATGCACACAAACAGACTGCCTGCACCCATCCAAGAGCCATTTCCCAAGGATTTACAAATACACAAAGGCTGGCATCCAACTCCCACGCTCCACACCGCGGCCTGCGTGTACAGGGCGGGCCCGTCAGGAAAAGCCGCTTCCTCGAGCTGTGTGTTTAGAAGTGTGTGTGTGTTTGCATGGGCCACTCATGAAGGCGATAAACAAGCCCTTTCAAGATCAAAACCGTGCAACATCTCATCTTCAAGTCTGATTTAATCTTGACTAAATAATTTCAGAAAAATCCAAACAGCTTGTTCCATCGCGATTTATCACTTCTGCCTTTGATGCTGATAATGTAAATACAGGACTCAAAGAGCAAGGATTGTCTGAAGTGACAAAGCCAATGCGTTGCTTTGTGACGAGAGCAAACTGCTCATTCCAAGCTCACTGATTACAGCCTACGTGGAGGAAACAATGAGGATCTGCTGCCATATTTCACCACGTCGATCTTAAGAAAAAAACTCAAAATCTGACCCTAAATGGATAGCAGCCTTTAAATTGCACTACTGATCAATTCATCCTCTACACCAGCTACAGCTGTTACAACCAGAGATCCCACAGATAACACTAAACAGCAGCTGCTCCTCAGCCACAATTGAACGTCCAACCTTGGTGTGGCTACTGGTGGTTACAGGAATGTGTCATTTTTCTCACAACAAGGCCACGCTGCAAATAATGTCCACCTTGGACCAAAAAAATCCACATCAGTAGCATCACATCAAGTCCAATCATAGCTCTTTAAAACAGGGGAAAAAATCCCTCATGTTTAAAATGGTGTGTGGACTGTTTTGGGATTTTTCCAGAAACAAATTTAGCAGCTTGAGTTAATAAAACTGGAAATGAAGCAATCACTGCTTCATAACAGGGAAATTACACAACTGAGAATGATGACATGTCACGTTAGCATGGAAACATATGAAATCGGTCACATTTTACTGACACATTAGCTTCAGATCAAGTAAATGACGTGTTAAAAATAGGTATTTTTTGCAGCGTGCATTCACAAAGCGATATTCTTGGCAAAGACGCTTAAAAAATGCATGAGCAGTGATTATGTAAACCAAGCTCCATAGCTAAAAAAATATGTATTTCCGATGTGATTGTTCTCATATTAAACTCCACGTTGGATTAGTGGGAGAGGGAAAAAAAAGCTGAAAAGGCAACAAAGCTCCTGTTGGCTTCCCAGTTTTCTCGACCCCTCGATAAATGCTGCAGTGCACCGCCGCCATCTTACTTCTCTATTCTCTCCCATCTGACTGAAATATGTGGAGGGCGTTAATGATGTTTGTTTTCCGAGGATAGTGTCGTCCTAATTTATTTCGTTTAAAGCACACACACAGGCGCCGAGTCTTCATTACGAGAGAACAAGATGTCTTATTGACTTATTTCCATTCCCAAAACACGCCCACTCCCTTAAAATTAGCCCTCGGGATATGGAAAATGAGATACGCTTTTCATTTATTCCCTGTCATTACTTAAACCACGACCAATTCGTCCGAAGCACCTGTTAGCAAAAAATAATAATAATAATAATAACAGCAGAAACGTTTTCGTAGCATTACAGGAGGTAAATAATTTGTTCTCAACTTGCTTGTAGCATTTTAAAATCGCTAAAAAAGCAAGTTTCTCGTGGGTTTAACACAAAGAAGGAGGAAACAAAGTGGGAGCAGCTTTAAATCAAACGGTGTCACACGTTTTCTCCATTGTCAGAGTCCCAATAAATCAGTTAGTACACGCTTGAAGCGAGGCTTTGCTGGAGAAAAGGCAACACGGAGCGATGGGACAGGGGTATTTAAATGCTCCGTTTCCTTTCTGGAGACATCAATTGGCAATAAACAATGAGAAATACTAGCAAAATGTCCAGCTAGCAACGCGAAATTATTGTTAACAGCGAGAAGACTGTGATTTAGAAACACAAAAGTGTTCACAGTCAGTGTCAAGCTAGCTAACAGCTACACACGGAAGCTCCGGTTAAGACATTCAATATAAAACGATACTCAACTAAATCGCATCTTTTATTTCATTTAAACACAAATATACCAATCAAAATTAGGTTAGGCATTCGTGGGGATGACAATATTTTGCTTTTATATAAGTTATATAAAATAACGGTCCAGAAATCTTTCCATTAAATTTCACCGAATGCAAAACACCACACCCCACAGCCGATTTAAAAGCCAAATCCAACATTGTCACTGTTTATTACACGGTAAATACAGTTTAATCCCCTAATTTGGTTGTTTAATTTGCCTATTTTGTCATTTTAATAAAAAAAAAAAACAACAATAACAGTCGAAGCTTTAGCGCTGAAGGTCCGGCGGCGCTAGCTAACCCCGGCTAGCTTGACTCAGCTGACAGCAACAATATGGTGGCAAATACAACACATTCTCGCTCAACACAAGACAGAATAAAAAAAAAAACGCATTTTTTTCTTACCTCCACGGCCAGAGCCGAAGCCGCCAAGGCCAGCAGGAGTAAAGCCACTCGATCCCCCATGTCGCTTCGCTGACACGACGCTCCTGAGGGCAGCGTTTTCGACGAACGGTGCGAACGTTTAAGCGTCGGCTGAGGAAAAAAAGGCTGAGCGTGTTTCCAGCGCCGGTGACTCCCGTTGTCTGATGGAGAGCGATAGCGAGGCTGCACAGCTGCTCTGCCGGATCACCTGACCACGGCCGAGTGGGATTAACGCACACACACACACACGCACACTCACTCACACTCACACACACATACTTCTACTCATGCACGCGTTATCTTTCTGACACACACGTTGTTTTTTTTTTTTTCTTTTTACATCTCACACGCGCCCCTTCATGCACGCGCACTCACCCATTTAATTTCAACGCAGGGGCGCGTCCACGAATGTT